CTATGTATCTCTATGGGTCTCTATGCATCTCTATGGGTCTCTATGTATCTCTATGGGTCTCTATGTATCTCTATGGGTCTCTAGGTACATTATCTCTATGTATCTCTATGGGTCCATATGTATCTCTATGGGTCTCTATGTATCTCTATGGGTCTCTATGTATCTCTATGGGTCACTATGTATCGCTATAGGTCTCTATGTATCTCTATGGGTATCTAGGTACATTATCTCAATGGGTCTCCATGGGTCCATATGTATCTCCATGGGTCTCTATGGGTCGCTACGTGTCTCACAAATGATAGCTCAACGATAGTGGCTGATATCATCATCGTGTGGAGATTACAGATGCATTGAGACCCATAGAGATAAGCAGATGTTAACTACCTCGCCTGGTCTACAGGAGGTCGTGGGTTCGATCACGTGACCCTGACGACGCTTGCTGCTCCTGCTGTATATTTGGAGTCTGCGTCTCTCTCCCCATGGTCACTGCGTGGATTTTTCTCCGGGCCCCCAGATTTTTCCCCTCCACATTGAAGAATCGACGTCACCACCACGCTGTTTAGAGTCTTTGTCTACTGCTGTAAATGTCCACGTGACAACGATGATGACGATGCTAAGTCACGTGGTTGAGCCGCTATCAATGTCCACGTGGTGGTGATGACGATGCTCAGCCACGTGGTTGAGCTGCTTTCAATGTCCACGTGACGATGATGATGACGATGCTGAGTCACGTGGTTGAGCTGCTGTAAATGTCCACGTGACAACGATGATGACGATGTTGAGCCACGTGGTTGAGCTGCTATAAATGTCCACGTGGTGGTGATGACGATGCTAAGCCACGTGGTTGAGCTGCTATAAATGTCCACGTGGTGATGATGACGATGCTAAGCCACGTGGTTGAGCTGCTTTCAATGTCCACGTGACGATGATAATGACAATGCTAAGCCACGTGGTGGAGCTGCTATCAATGTCCACGTGATGATGATGATGATGACGATGCTGAGTCACGTGGTTGAGCTGCCATCATTCGTGATGGTCCAGGTCGCTCCTATGGGGACTTACCTGGTGAGATAAACAAAAACAGTTTAGTTTTTAGTGTATGGGTCTCTATGATTCTCTCTGTATCTCTGTGGGTCTCTATGTATCTGTGTGGGTCTCTGTGTGTCTCTGTGGGTCTCTGTGTATCTCTGTGGGTCTCTGTGTATCTCTGTGGGTCTCTGTGTATTTCTATGAGTCTCTGTGTATCTCTGTGGGTCTCTGTGTGTCTCTATGGGTCTCTGTGTATCTCTATGTGTCTCTATGTATCTCTACGTGTCTCTATATATCTCCGTGGGTCTCCACGGGTCTCTGTGCGTTGAGAGTATTTGCCTGCTATAAATTCCCACGTGATGATGATGACGACGATGACGATGACGAGCCACGTGGTACAGCAGCTGTCATCTGCGATGTCCCAGGTCGCTTCTCAACAAGAGCCGCTACGCAGCTGCCCAGCGGCGCCTGACTACCCCGTTTGATCAGATCTACAGCACAAATTTTTGACGGCTCACGGATCGGGGTTCCCTTAAGCCCGAACCACGGTGATAATCGGAACAAAGGAAGTCATTTTCTTCGGGTTCTCTCGGTAAAGTCACGCGGATAGGTTCAAAGAAAATAACAAAAATAACAAACAGAAAAACTCGCGGCGTTTACCATCGCTTGCTATTTCTCTGAACCCATTTACGTGAATCTACCGAAAGACCCAGGAATATGAATTCCTGCAGTCACGAAAGCTTCACGTCGAGATTGAACAGAGTCATGCACGTTTTGCTCTTCGTTTTTTTTTTTTCGGTAAAGTCACGTAGAAATAATAAAAAAATAAAATTACATAATGGCAACACAAGCAATCATTATCAGGTACAGAAGAGCTACATTTCAGAGACAGAGAGAGAGAGAGAGTGGAAACACATAACCGCAGATATATATTACGTGTTTCCTCCCTCTCTCTTAAATGTAGCTCTTCTGCACCTGATGATGATTGCTTGTGTTGCAATCGAAACGTCGTACGCTATTACGTAATTTTTTGTTTTATCATTTATACGTGACTTTACCGAAAAAAAACCTAAGAGTAATTCCTGCTGTCACAAAAGCGCCTAATCAAGTTTTATACACGTTCATTATGCTTGGGGAATGTTTATTGCCAGCAGTCACTCGCGCGTGTGCTTAAAGCGAAGAAATACGTTGCTCCGGCGGTTAAATCCGGAACCCACGCCGATGGCCCCTCTACAGTGCAGGAGTTGCAATATATTTTTACGAACAGTTGGGGCGGAGTTTGATCTGAATATTCATTGGTCGTGGCTCTTTGCTATCATCCACTTGATGGGGCGGGAGTCTCTTGCTGGGTAGGAGCCAGGAAATCATTATGATTATTATCATCACTGAGCACGAGCATCGATCGATCGATCAGTCGATCATTAATTGATTGGCCGTGGCTCTGCTGTCATCCACTTACCGGGGCAAGAGTCTTCTGGTGGGTGGCCTCTTTGCCCATATATGTCACCACGATACAATCGGTTAACCCTAACCAAATCATCGATCGGAGATCTGCCTGTGAAATCTCGAGGTATGCGTGGCATTAGCCAACTATGTCACACGATACAATCGGTTAACCCCAACCAAATCACTGATCGGAGATCTGCCTGTGGAATCTCGAGGTAGGCGTGGCATTAGCCAACTATGGCACACGATACAATCGGTTAACCCCAACCAAATCACTGATCGGAGATCTGCCTGTGAAATTTCGAGGTAGGCGTGGCATTAGCCAACTATGTCACTCGATGCAATCGGATAACCCCAACCAAATCACCGATCGGAGATCTGCCTGTGAAATCTCGAGGTAGGCGTGGCATTAGCCAACTATGTCACACGATACAATCGGTTAACCCCAACCAAATCACGATCACGATATCTGCCCGTAACAGATGGAAGTAGGCGTGTCGTTGGCCGGAAGGATGGGGCGTGTCTTTGCCCATATTTGGTCTTTGTGGATCGGGAATCGAAGGTTTATTTGTTACCGATTCCGCGCAGCTGATCCGGCGGTCAGCTCGAAGTTGATGGGGGCAGCCATCTTGAAAATGTCCGATTGTATCTTAAAATGCATTCTGCGGTGTCAACTCCTTATCAGTGCCCTACCCTATTGCAGACCAACTCAGATCCCATTGGTCACCCCGTGCCCTTATAAATCTCAACGTTCATCCTACAAAGTCCCATCACAAGGCAGAAACAGAAACAAATAGACAAATAATTTTTTGCTGTGCCCGTATTGAACCGGCTGTCCACCGTATGGACCTGAAAACTTAAATTTCCCTGCACAAAAATCTGGGTAAACCGCATGGGTTAACAGGTACAAGATCATACAAAACAACAGTGCTGATCTCCGACATTTTACGTTATTTATTTTACACATCAATTCGTTCATATTTGTCGATCGACCTTTTGTATACATGTAAATCAATGTCATGCTAACGTCCGATATAATTGTAGCCGCGATTCAGTGTATTCTTATGGACTACTTCATCTTGAACTTGACTCTGTGCAGGACCGCCCTGGCCTGAAACCGCATGGGGCTCCGCAAGCCTCTCCTCAGCACGCCTGGCGAGGTGATGTTGAACAATCCTTGCCAGGACCTTTCCCGGCACACTGAGGAGTAAGATGCCCCTGTAGTTATTACAGTCTGTGCGGTCCCCCTTCTTAAAGAGGGGGACCACCAGGGCATCCTTCCAATCCTGCGAAACCCGTCCAGTGGTCCAGACTGTTGTTATGATGTCATATAGGAAAGTCTGTGCACAAATGCCACCCTCCCTCAGCAAGTTCGATTGGGAGATCGTCTCTGCCCGACGCCTTTCCTGGTCTCAGATTCTGAATCACCTTCAGTACTTCCTCAACAGATGAGGCACCGTAGCCTCATCAGGGGCATCCCCACTTTTCCCAATGATATTTTCTGGATTTCCCCTCCTCCAAGATCTCACAGAAATGCTCAGCAAACCTGTAACCCTGTTCGTGGGGGGGAGGGGGGGTCAGAGATTGGATCACCGTTCTTTTCCTTAAGGAATTAAATAGTGATTTGCGATTCCAGGCTACTCTGAGGCAGATTCTATCTCCTCAGTAACCCACGAAGGGCCACTCCCTGATGTTTGGCAGTCTCCTGCTCCGAGTAGAGGACTGACCAACCCTCATGGTGACAGGAGCCAGAGCCACTCCACCGGATCTCCTGAATGCCACAGAGATGCAGGCGGTACCGGTCCAGCTCCCGACTGAGGAATGGCAGCCTCTCATCCGCAGTGAGCGTTTGGACATTCCATGTGGCCTCTCACAGTGGCGTTTTTGCCGTTCCTGGGGGAACCCTGAGACTACGCCTTCAGTCTCCTGGCTCCGCCAAATGGGGTTTAGCCAGGGGACGTCATTGCCGCCCGTTCCCCTGGGGCCCCCGGCACAAGCTTACTTGGCTATTTAATTTGTGGTCTAGTGGTAGTGAATTGAAGGATTGGAGCGGGTTACCAGCCCCTCGCACCGGTTCAGGACCCCCATTGGCCACTGCGGTGGCTACGAGCTCCATGAGGGGAAAATGCGATTTGATTTGGACTTCCTACCATGGCACAATATCCACCACAAAGTTACCGTCCGGTACCACTAAGGAGGTGGGAGTTGTTTTTGACACCACCACCACCACCACCAATGCCACCGACGCCACCGACGCCACCACCACCACCACCGACGCCACCACCACCACCACCAATGCCACCGACGCAGGCACCACCACCACTCCCACCGCCACTGCCACCATCGCAGCTACCATCACCGCCGCCACCACAACCGCCACCCCCGCCGCCACCACCGCCACCACCACCACCACCACCACCACCGCCACCACCACCACCACCACCACCGCCGCCACCAACCGTAAAATCCGGCCCGTCTCTCTCTCTCTCTCTCCCTCTCTCTCCCTCTCTCCCTCTCGTTCCGCCCTAGAGCCGCGTCTCCGCCTCCCTGCCCCCGCCCGCCTCCTTGCCCGCCGCGCCGCCGTTCCCGCGGGCCGCCGGCGCCGCCGCCGCCGCCGCCGGCAGCGCCGCCGCCAGCGCGGCGCAGAGGAGCGGTCGGGCGCACGCCCCGAGCGCGCCCAGCGCCAGCCACAGCGGGAGGGCCGCCCCGAGGGCCGACTGCCCCGCGGGGAGTTCCCCGCCGTCGCCGCCGTCGCCGTCGTCGCCGTCGTCGCCGTCGTCGCCGCCGTCGGACTCCGACTCGGCCAGGGAGGCGGCGCTGGCGATCGCGAACGGCGCCCACAGGGCAAAGTGAGCGGCGCACGCGATGCCGGCGAAGACGCGGCGGGCGGCGGCCGCGGCGGTCGCCGGGGGAGGACGAGGCGACGGAGGAGGATGATGAGGAGGAGGAGGAGGATGAGGATGATGAGGAGGAGGATGAGGATGAGGAGGATGATGAGGAGGAGGATGAGGAGGATGAGGAGGAGGAGGAGGATGATGAGGATGAGGAGGATGATGATGAGGAGGAGGAGGAGGATGAGGAGGATGAGGAGGAGGATGAGGAGGAGGAGGATGATGAGGAGGAGGAGGATGAGGAGGAGGAGGAGGAGCAGGGGGCGACATCGAGGAGAGGAGGCGGTAGGCGCAGACGAGGAATGGCGCCGCGAAGAAGACGACGAGGAACGAGCCGACGACGGCCGCCCTGCTCGCCCACGCCAACTCGGGCTGCGACCGGTAGGAGCTCACGCACGTGGCCACGGTGGACGAGCCGCCGCCGCCATCGCCGCCGCCGCCGCTGTCACCGCTGTCACCGCCGCCGTCGCCGCCGTCGTGGTGGTCCAGGTAGTCCGAGCCGTAGTCGTACGAAGCGTAGTCGGGGACCTCCTTGACCGTCCGCACGATGAGCCAGGGGACGGCCGAGAGAGCCGTGAAGCCCCACGCGGCAATCGCTCCCAGCGAGCCGCGCGTGCAGGCGGGGGAGGAGCCGCGTGGGCAGGGGGGGGAGGAGCCACGCGGGCCTGGGGGGGAGGAGCCGCGCGTGCAGGCGGGGGAGGAGCCACGCGGGCAGGGGGGGGAGGAGCCACGCGGGCCCGGGGGGGAGGAGCCACGTGGGCAGGGGGGGGAGGAGCCGCGCGGGCCTGGGGGGGAGGAGCCACGCGGGCAGGGGAGGGAGGAGCCGCGTGGGCAGGGGGGGGAGGAGCCGCGTGGGCAGGGGGGGGAGGAGCCGCGCGGGCAGGGGGGGGAGGAGCCGCGCGGGCAGGGGGGGGAGGAGCCGCATGGGCAGGGGGGGGAGGAGCCACGTGGGCCCGGGGGGGAGGAGCCGCGCGGGCAGGGGGGGGAGGAGCCGCATAAGCAGGGGGGGGAGGAGCCACGCGGGCCCGGGGGGGAGGAGCCGCGCGGGCCGGGGGGAGGAGCCAGGAGGTGGGAGGCGAGCGCCGTGAGCCACAGGGAGCCGCCCGTCGCGGCCGCGTAGACACCGAAGCTGAGGGCCTTGCAGGCGACGAGGCCGAAGGGCCAGCGGCCCGCGGCGATGTTGACGACCCAGAAGGGGAGGACGGCGGAGAGGAGGCCGTCGCACGTGGCCAGGTGGAGCAGGAGGCGTCTGGGTGGACGCACCGGAGGCAGGGGGGTGAGGGGGTGAGGAGGGGTAGTGGTCATTGTGGTGCGTCACGTTGCAATGCGTCACTCGGGCCAATGCGATACATTGCAACGCGACCGTGCGGGATCGGGCTCCTGGTGAAGCCTATGGGGGACCCCCCCCAGTGGCAGCTGACCCTGCGTGGAGTCACCGGGTTGGGTAAGGCTCCTGGTGAAGCCTAGGGGGACCCCCCCAGTGGCAGCTGACCCTGCGTGGAGTCACTGTGCAGGGTAAGGCTCTTGGTGAAGCCTAGGGGGACCCCCCCAGTGGCAGCTGTCCCTACGTGGAGTCACCGTGCAGGGTAAGGCTCTTGGTGAAGCCTAGGGGGACCCCCCCAGTGGCAGCTGTCCCTACGTGGAGTCACCGTGCAGGGTAAGGCTCTTGGTGAAGCCTAGGGGGACCTCCCAGTGGCAGCTGTCCCTACGTGGAGTCACCGTGCAGGGTAAGGCTCTTGGTGAAGCCTAGGGGGACCCCCCAGTGGCAGCTGACCCTGCGTGGAGTCACCGGGTTGGGTAGAGGGCCCGGAGAAGCCTAGGGAGTCACCGTGCGGGGTAGAGGTCCCACATACGCCTAGGGGGACCCCCCCAGTGGCAGCTGACCCTACGTGGAGTCACCGTGCAGGGTAAGGCTCTTGGTGAAGCCTAGGGGGACCTCCCAGTGGCAGCTGTCCCTACGTGGAGTCACCAGGTTGGGTAAGGCTCCTGGTGAAGCCTAGGGGGACCCCCCCAGTGGCAGCTGACCCTGCGTGGAGTCACCGGGTTGGGTAGAGGGCCCGGGGAAGCCTAGGGAGTCACCGTGCGGGGTAGAGGTCCCACACACGCCTAGGGGGACCCCCCCCAGTGGCAGCTGTCCCTGCGTGGAGTCACCGTGCGGGGTCGGGCTCCCGTGGGGTGCGCCTGAACGTCCACAAGAGGGCCAGGTAGGAGGGGAGGCCCAGCAGGGAGGAGAGGCCCAGCAGGATGCACGTGGGGAAGTCCAGCCAGGCCGCCCCGGGGTCAAAGTCATCTTCACCAAAAGGTCACGGGTGTGGGGTGGGCGGTGGCGGGGGGCATGGGGGCGGGGAGAGAGGGGCGGGGGGGGAGGGGGGGGGCAAAGGTAAAGGCAAATGTCACCCAGGTAGCCTCTAACCGGCCATTGGGGCAAGTGCGCGTGTGTGTGTGTGTGTGTCACAAGACAAAGGTGAAGACAAAGATCCCCCGGGTAGCCTCTTTACAGACTGTTGGGGCAAGTGTACGTGCGTATATATCTCAGAAGGCGAAGCTGAAGCTTCCCCACGTAGCCTCTAACAGGCCGTGCTCTGAGACACATTTGCCCCCACAAGAAGATACACAGAGACCCATAGAGATACACAGAGACCCACAGAGATACATAGAGACCTACAGAGATACATAGAGACCCACAGAGATACACAGAGACCCACAGAAATACATAGAGACACATAGAGATGCATAGAGATCCATAGAGACACACAGACCCACAGAGACACACAGAGACCCACAGAGATACACAGAGACACACAGAGACCCACAGAGATACATAGAGATACATAGAGACACGTAGAAATACATAGAGATACATAGAGACCCACAGAGACACACAGAGACCCACAGAGATACACAGAGACCCATAGAGATACATAGAGATGCACAGAGATACACAGAAACCCATAGAGATACAGAGACCCACACAGATACATAGAGACCAACAGAGATAAAGAGAGACCCATAGAGATACATAGAGACCCATAGAGATAAAGAGAGACCCATAGAGATACACAGAGACCCATAGAGATACAGAGACCGACACAGATACATAGAGGCCCATATAGACATAGAGACCCACAGAGATACAGAGATAATCATAAAGACCCATACACTAAAAACTAAACTGTTTTTATTTATCTCACCAGGTAAGTCCCCATAGGAGCGACCTGGACCATCACGACTGATAGCAGCTCAACCACGTGACTCAGCATCGTCATCATCGTCACGTGGACATTGATAGCAGCTCAACCACGTGACTTAGCATCGTTATCACCACCACGTGGACATTGATAGCAGCTTAACCACGTGGCTCAGCATCGTCATCATCGTCACGTGGACATTGATAGCAGCTCAACCACGTGACTTAGCATCGTCATCATCGTCACGTGGACATTGATAGCAGCTCAACCACGTGACTTAGCATCGTCATCATCGTCACGTGGACATTTATAGCAGCTCAACCACGTGACTCAGCATCGTCATCATCGTCACGTGGACATTGATAGCAGCTCAACCACGTGAATTAGCATCGTCATCATCGTCACGTGGACATTGATAGCAGCTCAACCACGTGACTTTGCATCGTCATCATCGTCACGTGGACATTGATATCAGCTCAACCACGTGGCTTAGCATCGTCATCACCACCACGTGTACATTGATAGCAGCTCAACCACGTGACTTAGCATCGTCATCATCATTGTCACATGGACATTGACAGCAGCTCAACCACGTGGGTGAGTATCGTCATCATCACCACGTGGACATTGATAGCAGCTCAACCACGTGGTTTAGCATGATCATCATCACCACGTGGACACTGATAGTAGTTCAACCACGTGACTCATCATCATCATCATCACCACGTGGACATGGATAGCTGCTCAACCACGTGGCTTAGCATCGTCATCATCATCATCATCACGTGGACATTGATAGTAGTTCAACCACGTGACTTAGCATCGTTATCACCACCACGTGGACATTGATAGCAGCTTAACCACGTGGGTCAGCATCGTCATCATCGTCACGTGGACATTGATAGCAGCTCAACCACGTGGCTTAGCATCGTCATCATTGTCACGTGGACATTGATGGCAGCTCAACCACGTGGCTCAGCATCGTCATCATCATCACCATGTGGACATTGATAGCAGCTCAACCACGTGGCTTAACATCGTCATCATCGTCACGTGGGCATTGATAGCAGCTCAACCACGTGGCTCAGCATCGTCATCATCACCACGTGGACAATGACAGTAGCTCCACGACGTGGCTTAGCATCGTCATCATCGTAACGTGGACATTGATAGCAGCTCAACCACGTGGCTTAGCATCGTCATCATCGTTGTCACGTGGACATTGATAGCAGCTCAACCACGTGGCTTAGCATCGTCATCATCGTTGTCACGTGGACATTGATAGCAGCTCAACCACGTGGCTTAGCATCGTCATCATCGTTGTCACGTGGACATTAATTGTAGCTCAACCACGTGGCTTAGCATCGTCATCATCACCACGTGGACATTGATAGCAGCTAAACCACGTGACTTAGCATCGTCATTATCGTTGTCACGTGGACATTTACAGCAGCAGACAAAGACTCTAAACAGTGTGGTGGTGACGTCGATTCTTCAATGTGGAGGGGAAAAATCTGAGGGCCCGGAGAAAAATCCACGCAGTGACCATGGGGAGAGAGACGCAGACTCCAAATATACAGCAGCAGCAGGAGTCGTCAGGGTCACGTGATCGAACCCACGACCTCCTGTATACCAGGCGAGGTAGTCAACATCTCCGAGCCACTGTGATGATGATGAGAGAGAGATGCAGACTCCAAATATACAGCAGCAGGCATCGTCAGAGTCGGGATCGAACCCACGACCCCCTGTATACCAGGCGAGGTGGTTAACATCTCATAGCCACTGTGATGATGATGAGAGAGAGACGCAGACTCCGAAAATACAGCAGCAGCAGGCGTCGTCAGGGTCACGTGATCGAACCCACGACCTCCTGAAGATCAGGCGAGATGATATCAGCCAGTATCTTTGAGCTAGTTGTAGTGACTAGCTGTAGTGACTAGCTGTAGTCACGAGCTATAGTCACTAGCTGTAGTCACTAGCTATAGTCACTAGCTATAGTCACTAGCTTTAGTCACTAGCTGTAGTCACTAGCTATAGTCACTAGCTATAGTCACTAGCTGTAGTCACTAGCTGTAGTCACTAGCTATAGTCACTAGCTGTAGTCACTAGCTGTAGTCACTAGCTATAGTCACTAGCTATAGTCACTAGCTATAGTCACTAGCTATAGTCACTAGCTGTAGTCACTAGTTGTAGTCACTAGCTATAGTCACTAGCTGTAGTCACTAGCTGTAGTGACTAGCTGTAGTCACTAGCTATAGTCACTAGCTATAGTCACTAGCTATAGTCACTAGCTATAGTCACTAGCTGTAGTCACTAGCTGTAGTCACTAGCTATAGTCACTAGCTATAGTCACTAGCTATAGTCACTATCTGTAGTCACTAGCTGTAGTCACTAGCTGTAGTCACTAGCTGTAGTCACTAGTTGTAGTCACTAGCTATAGTCACTAGCTATAGTCACTAGCTGTAGTCATTAGCTATAGTCACTAGCTATAGTCACTAGCTGTAGTCACTAGCTGTAGTCACTAGTTATAGTCACTAGTTATAGTCACTAGCTATAGTCACTAGCTATAGTCACTAGCTATAGTCACTAGCTGTAGTCACTAGCTACAGTCACTAGCTATAGTCACTAGCTATAGTCACTAGCTATAATCACTAGTTGTAGTCACTAGCTATAGTCACTAGCTGTAGTCACTCGCTGTAGTCACTAGCTGTAGTCACTATCTATAGTCACTAGCTGTAGTCACTAGCTATAGTCACTATCTATAGTCACTAGCTATAGTCACTAGCTATAGTCACTAGCTGTAGTCACTAGCTATAGTCACTAGCTATAGTCACTATCTATAGTCACTAGCTATAGTCACTAGCTATAGTCACTAGCTGTAGTCACTAGCTATAGTCACGAGCTGTAGTCACTAGCTATAGTCACTAGTTATAGTCACTAGCTGTAGTCACTAGTTATAGTCACTAGCTGTAGTCACTAGCTGTAGTCACTAGCTGTAGTCACTAGTTATAGTCACTAGCTGTAGTCACTAGCTGTAGTCACTAGCTGTAGTCACTAGCTATAGTCACTAGCTGTAGTCACTAGCTATAGTCACTAGCTATAGTCACTAGCTATAGTCACTAGCTATAGTCACTAGCTGTAGTCACTAGCTATAGTCACTAGCTATTGTCACTAGCTGTAGTCACTAGCTATAGACACTAGCTGTAGTCACTAGCTGTAGTCACTAGCTACAGTCACTAGCTGTAGTCACTAGCTGTAGTCACTAGCTATAGTCACTAGTTATAGTCACTAGCTATAGTCACTAGCTATAGTCACTAGCTGTCGTCACTAGCTGTAGTCACTAGCTGTAGTCACTAGCTATAGTCACTAGCTATAGTCAATAGCTGTAGTCACTAGCTATAGTCACTAGCTGTAGTCACTAGCTATAGTCACTAGCTATAGTCACTAGCTATAGTCACTAACTATAGTCACTAGCTATAGTCATTAGCTATAGTCACTAGCTATAGTCACTAGCTGTAGTCACTAGCTATAGTCACTAGCTGTAGTCACTAGCTATAGTCACTAGCTATAGTCACTAGCTGTAGTCACTAGCTGTAGTCACTAGCTATAGTCACTAGCTGTAGTCACTAGCTATAGTCACTAGCTATAGTCACTAGCTATAGTCACTAGCTATAGTCACTAGCTGTAGTCACTAGCTATAGTCACTAGCTATAGTGACTAGTTGTAGTCACTAGCTATAGTCACTAGCTGTAGTCACTAGCTATAGTCACTAGCTGTAGTCACTAGCTGTAGTCACTAGCTGTAGTGACTAGCTATAGTCACTAGCTATAGTCACTAGCTATAGTCACTAGCTGTAGTCACTAGCTATAGTCACTAGCTGTAGTCACTAGCTGTAGTCACTAGCTATAGTCACTAGCTGTAGTCACTAGCTATAGTCACTAGCTATAGTCACTAGTTGTAGTCACTAGCTATAGTCACTAGCTGTAGTCACTATCTATAGTCACTAGCTATAGTCACTAGCTACAGTCACTAGCTATAGTCACTAGCTTTAGTCACTAGCCATAGTCAATAGCTGTAGGCACTAGCTGTAGTCACTAGCTATAGTCACTAGCTGTAGTCACTAGCTATAGTCACTAGCTGTAGTCACTAGCTATAGTCACTAGCTGTAGTCACTAACTATAGTCACTAGCTATAGTCACTAGCTATAGTCACTAGCTGTAGTCACTAGCTATAGTCACTAGCTATAGTCACTAGCTATAGTCACTAGCTGTAGTCACTAGCTATAGTCACTAGCTATAGTCACTAGCTATAGCCACTAGCTATAGTCACTATCTATAGTCACTATCTATAGTCACTATCTATAGTCACTAGCTGTAGTCACTAGCTGTAGTCCCTAGCTATAGTCACTAGCTATAGTCACTAGCTATAGTCACTAGCTATAGTCACTAGCTGTAGTCACTAGCTGTAGTCACTAGCTATAGTCACTAGCTATAGTCACTAGCTGTAGTCACTAGTTATAGTCACTAGCTATAGTCACTAGCTATAGTCACTAGCTATAGTCACTAGCTATAGTCACTAGCTATAGTCACTAGCTGTAGTCACGAGCCATAGTCACTAGCTTTAGTCACTAGCTATAGTCACTAGCTGTAGGCACTAGCTGTAGTCACTAGCTATAATGACTAGCTATAGTCACTAGCTATAGTGACTAGCTATAGTCACTAGCTATAGTTACTAGCTATAGTCACTAGCTGTAGTCACTAGCTTTAGTCACTAGCTATAGTCACTAGCTGTAGGCACTAGCTGTAGTCACTAGCTATAGTCACTAGCTGTAGTCACTAGCTATAGTCACTAGTTATAGTCACTAGCTGTAGGCACTAGCTGTAGTCACTAGCTGTAGTGTGATGGAACTTACAGTCTGCGGCTGTGGAGTTGTCCATCACGGAGTGATGATGGGGAATCTGCAAAGGGGCACAGACTGAAGTAGTCAGACAGGCGATGACGATGGTGGTGGCGATGGTGACGATGGTGGTGATGGTGGTGACGATGGTGGTGGCGATGGTGGTGATGGTGGTGATGGTGGTGACGATGGTGGTGACGATGGTGGTGACGATGGTGTCGATGGTGGTGGCGATGACGGTGGTGGTGGTGTCGATCGTGGTGATGGTGACGATGGTGGTGACGATGGTAGCAATGGTGGTGATGGTGGTGACGATGGCAATGGTGTCGATGCCGACGATGGTGGTGACGATGGTGGTGATGGTGACGATGGTGATGACGATGGTGGTGGCGATGGTGGTGGTGATGACGATGGTGGTGATGATGGTGACGATGGTGGTGGCGATGACGTTGGTGGTGACGATGGTGATGGTGGTGACAATGGTGGTGACGATGGTAGCAATGGTGGTGATGGTGGTGACGATGGCGATGGTGTCGATGCTGACGATGGTGGTGACGATGGTGGTGATGGTGACGATGGTGGTGACGATGGTGGTGATGGTGACGATGGTGATGACGATGGTGGTGGCGATGGTGGTGGTAATGACGATGGTGGTGACGATGGTGGTGATGGTGACGGTGGTGGTGACGATGGTAGCAATGGTGGTGATGGTGGTGACGATGGCGATGGTGGTGTCGATGGTGGTGATGGTGACGATGGTGGTGGTGATGACGATGGTGGTGACGATTGTAGCGATGGTGATGATGGTGGTGACAATGGTATTCATGGTGATGGTGGTGACGATGGTGGCGATGGTGGTGGTGGTGGTGATGGTGGTGGTGATGGTCGTGGTGGTAGTGGCGATGGTTGTCGTAGTTATGACGATGTTGATGACGATGGTGGTGATTATGGTGATGGTGGTGGCGGTAAGTAGGTGAGTGGGTGGGTGGGTGAGTCGGTGGGTAGATGAGTGAGGGAGAAGGTAGGTGAGTGTTTGGGTAGGTGACAATACACTACACTATACACTACACTACTATACACTAATATACACTACACTACTATACACTACACTACTATACACTAAACTATACACTACACTGTACACTACTATACACTACACTACTATACACTACACCACTATACTACACTATACACTACATTATACACTACACTACTATACACTACACTACTATACACTACACTATACACTACACTTTTATACACTTACACTACTATACACTACACTACTATACACTACACTATACACTACTATACACTTACACTACTATACACTACACTATACACTACACTACTATACACTTACACTACTATACACTACACTACTATACACTACATTACTATACACTACACTAATATACACTACACTACACACTACACTATACTATGCACTACACTACTATACACTACACTACTATACACTACACTAATATACACTACACTATACACTACACTAATATACACTACACTACACACTACACTATACTATGCACTACACTACTATACACTATACACTACTATACACTTACACTACTATACACTACTATACACTACACTACTATACACTACACTACTATATACTACACTATACACTACACTACAATACAATTCACTACTATACACTTACACTACTATACACTACACTAATATACACTACATTACTATACACTACACTATACACTACACTAATATACACTACACACTACACTATACTATACACTACACTACTATACACTACTCTACTATACACTACACTACTATACACTACACTACTATAAACTACACTACAATACAATTCACTACTATACAGTTACACTACTATACACTACACTATACACTACACTACTATACACTACACTACTATACACTACACTACTATACACTAGACTACTATACACTACACTACTATACACTACTACACAATAGACTACACTATACACTACACTACGATACACTTACACTACTATACACTACACTACTATACACTACACTACTATACACTACACTATACACTACACTACTATACACTACACTACTATACACTACACTATACACTACACTATACACTACTATACACTACACTACTATACACTACACTGCTATACACTACAATATACACTACAATACTATACACTACACTACCCTACTATACACTACTCCACTACACTATACACTACACTACTATACACTACACTATACACTACACTATACACTACACTACTATACACTACTACACTACACACTACACTATACACTACACTATACACTACACTATACACGACACTTTTTGTGGCTTACCATCGAACAAAGGCAGTGGCGGGTGAGACGAGCTGCCCTCTGTGGCCGTCTGGAACGCTGCTCCAATCCTCGCTAAGTCACCGGAGATCCACCACCACCACCAACAACCACCAACAACAACAACCACCAACAACAGCAACAACAACAACAACCAATGCTGCTGCTTCTACCCTTTAAACAACCACCACTACTACCAGCAGCGATCACCTGACGTCTACAGAAGTGCTCGCTGATTTTGCCCGTGCGTTTGTGTTTTAAATCGTGGCTCGGTCATCCATCCACTCCCATTGCTCCCTCCCTCCACTCCACTCCTCCCTCCATCCGTCCTGCACACACGCACACACATAGACACACGCATAGACACGCACAGACACGCACACACACAGACACAAACATAGACACATACATAGACACACACACATAGACACATAGACACACACACACACATAGACACACACAGGCACACACACACGCACACACATAGACACACACAGACACACACATACAAATACATACACACAGACACATACATGCACACATAGACACACACAGACACATACACACACACACGCACACATAGACACACACAGACACACACATACACACACAGATACAGACACAGACACTCACATAATACACACACACGCACACACATAGACACACACAGACACACAGACACACACACACACATAGACACACATAGACACACACAGACACAAACATAGACACAGACACATACATAGACACACACATACACACACACACACAAAGACACACACACAGACCTCACATACACACACATAGACACACACAGACACACACATACACACACATATACACACAGACACACATATACACACAGACACACACATATACACACCCACACATAGACACACACACATAGACACACACACATACAACAACAACCGCCATTCGCCACTAAGTGGCGGTGACGTCACCACGACGCTTGTGCCAGGCTATGTGCACCCTGAGGCCACGTGAAGTGTCGAACGCCCGCTGGCAGGAGGTCACGGGGCAGACCCAGGTGCCACGGGTCGACTGACTGAGATGACTGGCTGATGCACCACCTGTGCCCCCTACTGTGCCAACCTGCTGTGCTTTAGCCACCCGGCGCTCCGCTCGTTGTTGTGAGCGTCGCTCCTCCGCCCTCCGTTGTTGTTGGAGGGCGACTACCTCCAACTGCCCAGTAGCATCCTTCACGAGTCTCCTCCACAGAGGCCGATCTTGACACCGCTGGTACCAGTCATCGGCAAGTCCACTCAGCTCCACGTCCTCATGTACCACATCACTCCATCTCTTCTCTAGCCCGTGCCGCGCCCGCTTTGCCCCCTCAATCCGGCCGACCAAAAGCTGTTTCGGCATGCGGTGGCTGGGCATGCGGGCTACATGACCCAGCCATCGCAGCCTTGCCCACCGGAGGAGCTCACCGATGGGACCTTGCCCAGATCTTTCAAGGATTTGTGAGCTCCTCACACAATCCAGCTTGGTTAAACCCAGGATGGATCGTAGGCAGGCCAGCCTAAATATTTCTAACCGGCGAAGATGTTCCATTAGGGGGGTCCACGTTTCGCAAGCGTAGAGAAGGGAGGGAATGACCGTGGCCGAGAAGACCTGAAGCTTAGTGGGGAGCGACCGACCAGGTAGCTTCCACACAGCGTTACGCAACCGATGAAAAGATATTGCCGCTCGACTGATTCGGAGTGAGACCTCTGCTGTTAAACTTGAGCCAGTCATAAGCACACTGCCCAGGTACGGGAAACTCTCCACTCTCTCCACAACTGCCCCATCACCGATCGGGAGTTGTGGGGGTGGAGTGTCCGATGGTACAAAATACCCAGGCAGGTGCTTAGTTTTGGTGGGGCTGATGGTAAGGCCCCACCTCTTAGTGGCACGCTCAAGTCTCAGCAGCAGCGTCTCCAACTCCTCCTCTGACTGAGCAGCTATTACCAAATCATCAGCATACATAACGTGGTTGAGCAATAGGGAGCCATCCCTTGACCGCACCCGGGCATCGATCAGCCTCCCATTATATCTGTACCATATGGAGATTCCCCCGGTACAGCTATTGAAGGCTGCACGAACTACGTGGTCAAAATAGCTATTGAAGGCTTCACGAATAGCTATTTAAGGCTTCACGAACTACGTGGTCAAAATAGATGTTAAATAATGTGGGAGCCAGAGGACATCCCTGTCGCACCCCAAGGTGTACAGGGAATGGCTCTGACTCCCGGCCACGTAGTTTTACCCGGGCCCGCTCACCATCATGAAGGTCCTTAATGATCGTGAGCAGAGGGTCAGGTACTCCAAAACACGAAGAACAACCCAGAGCCCAGGCCTACTGATGGTATCATAGGCCTTGACCAGGTCAATAAAGCAGAGATGTAGGTCTTGTTGGAATTCCCTACACCTCTGCTGTAGCAGACGGACAGAAAATATGGCATCTGTGCAGGACCGCCCTTTCGTGAAACCGCATTGGGGCTCCGCAAGCCTCTCATCAGCGTGCCTGGCAAGGCGATGTTGAATAATCCTTGCCAGGACCTTTCCCGGCACACTGAGGAGTGAGACGCCCCTGTAGTTGTTACAGTCTGTGCGGTCCCCCTTCTTAAAAAGGGGGACCACCAAGGCATCCTTCCAATCCTGCGGAACCCGTCCAGTGGTCCAGACTGTTATGATGTCATATAGGACAGTCTGTGCATAAACGCCACCCTCCCTCAGCATTTCGCTTGGGAGATCATCTCTATCCGCTGCCTTTCCTGGTCTCAGACTTCAGATCGCCTTCAGTACTTCCTCAACAGATGGCACCTCAGCCAGCTACTCACAGGGGGTGACTTCTTCCAATATTTGAGGCACCGCAGCCTCAGCAGGGTCATCCTCACTTTGTGCCACGATGTTTTCCAGGCTGAGGGATTTCCCCTCCCTCAGAACCTCACAGAAATGCTCAGCAAATCTGCAAACCTGTCCCTAGGGGTCGGAGATTGGATCACCGTTCTTTCCCCTAATGATGGTAATAGGTGTGGCGCTGCAGGTTACTTTTTTGATGCAGTTAAATATCGATTTGTGATCACAGGCCATTGAGGCAGACTCCATCTTCTCAGCAACCCGCGACCACCACCCATCCTTGCAGCGCCTCACGGCTCTCCGAACCTCCGAGCGAAGGCTGCGGTAAGCCTCCTCATTCAGACACGCACACACAGACACACACACACAGACACACACACATATGCACCACTCATTCCCGGTATCAATTCCCAGCCCACGTGCAGCGATTTCCCAGCAAGGAGGAAGTTTGATTCATCACCTGGAATTGCCTCCTCCTGCTGCTGCTGCTCATCATCATCATCGCCTCCTTACGGGAATGGTGGTGGGTGGAGATGGTGTGGGGGGAAGTGGGGGGAAGTGGGGGGAGGGAGTGGTGGGTCTAGTGGTAAGCGCGCTGCGCAGCGAACCCGGCGACCCGGGTTCGATTCCCGCTCACGGCCAACACCACCAGTGACGATTATCTGAACCGGTCCTGGGGCCTCCCCTAGGTCGACTCAGCCTCAAATGAGTAGTTGGTGTAGCGGTGTGTAGTAAATATCGCCACTGGGGAGACAAAGGCGGCCGGGCGTGGTGCTGGCCACCCACCCCCTCGTGTCCCGTGCCGCTCTTCATAGATGCTGCTGCTCGCTAACTGCACTTGCCCCAACAGTCTGTCACAGGCTACACGGGGAATCTTTGTATTTAGCTTTGTTAACATCTTCTCTGGAGTTTCACTTTCGCTTTGAACACAATGCCTCGTCTCAACAATAACAGCGGGGAGTGCCAACACTGCCTCGCACTGACCATCACTGAACCCTGTGGGAGCCTTAGTCTGGCTCTGTGAGCATCAGTGATTGACACTGAACACTGTGGGAGTCTTAGTCTGGCTCTGTGAGCATCAGTGATTAACACTGAACCCTGTGGGAGTCTTAGTCTGGCTCTGTGAGTCTCATTGATAAACACTGAACACTGTGGGAGCCTAAGTCTGACTCTGTGAGTCACACTGATAAACACTGAACCCTGTGGGAGCCTTAGTCTGGCTCTGTGAGTTTCAATGATAAACACTGAACCCTGTGGGAGCCTTAGTCTGGCTCTGTGAGTTTCAATGATAAACACTGAACCCTGTGGGAGCCTTAGTCTGGCTCTGTGAGTCTCATTGATAAACACTGAACCCTGTGGGAGCCTTAGTCTAGCTCTGTGAGTCTCATTGATAAACACTGAACCCTGTGGGAGCCTTGGTCTGGCTCTGTGAGTCACACTGATAAACACTGAACCCTGTTGGAGCCTTAGTCTGGCTCTGTGAGTCTCATTGATAAACAGTGAACCCTGTGGGAGCCTTAGTCTGGCTTTGTGAGTCTCATTGATAAACACTGAACCCTGTGGGAGCCTTAGTCTGGCTCTGTGAGTTTCAATGATAAACACTGAACCCTGTGGGAGCCTTAGTCTGGCTCTGTGAGTTTCAATGATAAACACTGAACCCTGTGGGAGCCTTAGTCTGGCTCTGTGAGTCTCATTGATAAACACTGAACCCTGTGGGAGCCTTAGTCTAGCTCTGTGAGTCTCATTGATAAACACTGAACCCTGTGGGAGCCTTGGTCTGGCTCTGTGAGTCACACTGATAAACACTGAACCCTGTTGGAGCCTTAGTCTGGCTCTGTGAGTCTCATTGATAAACAGTGAACCCTGTGGGAGCCTTAGTCTGGCTTTGTGAGTCTCATTGATAAACACTGAACCCTGTGGGAGCCTTAGTCTGGCTCTGTGAGTCTCATTGATAAGCACTGAACCCTGTGGGAGCCTTAGTCTGGCTCTGTGAGCCTCAGTGATCAACACTGAACCCTGTGGGAGCCTTAGTCTGGCTCTGTGAGCCTCAGTGATCAACACTGAACCCTGTGGGAGCCTTAGTCTGGCTCTGTGAGCCTCAGTGATAAACACTAAACACTGTGGGAGCCTAAGTCTGGCTCTGTGAGTTTCAATGATAAACACTGAACCCTGTGGGAGCCTTAGTCTGGCTCTGTGAGTTTCAATGATAAACACTGAACCCTGTGGGAGCCTTAGTCTGGCTCTGTGAGTCTCATTGATAAACACTGAACCCTGTGGGAGCCTTAGTCTGGCTCTGCGAGCCTCCCTAATAAACACTAAACCCTGTGAGAGCCTTAGTCTGGCTCTGTGAGTCTCATTGATAAACACTGAACCCTGTGAGAGCCTTAGTCTGGCTCTGCGAGCCTCCCTGATAAACACTGAACCCT